GAAATAAGAAGACACAAACATTAAATTCTCATCTTTGGATGTAAAACATTAACTTGTAATTAGTATCTCAATGCAGCATTCAAATATTGATAACATAGGTCCTGACAAATAAATAAATTCTTCCTTTGGCCGATATATCATTGTCATGGAAAATAATCAAACAATTATCACATATTTATGGCCAAAACATTATTCAAAACTCAGCCAGAGTAGCAAACCTTCCTTTGGTCCCCGAATTAACTATCCGCAACGGGATTCTAATACCCTGTCTAATTATTCTAAAATAAATCAAATTCAAGGCAATAGAGGGTCACTTTGGTGACTTATTGATTCCCCAAATTAGATTTATTTTAACAAAATATCAAACACAATAGGGACTTAATCACTCCAAAATTTAATTGCTTCAAGTTCGACAAAATTAATTCATTAATTGTAATTAAAACAAAACAATTGCATTAAATGAATTGAATTGTCTAAATATTTAATAACTAAAAATTATTTAGCCCTAAAAAAAAAAAATTATAATCTAGTCTTATTAAGTCACTAAATTAGAGACTAGAGTTATAAAATTGCGACTAAATAAGAATTTGAATAAAATTAAAGTTCGGGATCTAATTAATTACTAAATATATATCCATGGGTCTAGACAAATAAAACAGGAAATTAGGGCCTAATCTGAGAGTTACAGAAAATTAAGGGCGCTAAATCTGAAGTTACAGAACTTAGGGGCCTTAATCCGAAATTATACAGAAACTTAAGGGGCCTAAACCGAAATTTTCCAAAGACCTAACTGTAATGCCATCCCTAACCTTAAAAAACAAAAACGATAACAGGTCCGTGCCAACCAAAAACGATCTGAATTTTTTTTTTTTCTTTTTTTTTAAACCAAAATCCGGCTAGAAGAAAAAAATAAAAAATATATATATATTAATATATATATATATATATGATATTAATATAAAATATCAAACGAACAATTAATCTCAAATGGCGTTGTTTCAAAACCTTCTTACCTGTCTTGGGGAATCCGAAGAACAGTGAGAAAAAAAAAAATTTTTTTATTAAACAAAACCCTCAATCCGTAAACAGTAGGGGAAAACAAATTAAAAAAAACATACGAAAATCAATCTAAAAATTCTAGCAATTATGCCAAGGCTCTGATTTACCCACTTGTTGAATATTAATCTCAAATAATTGCAATAAAACCTAGATCGTGCAAAACCACTAGATTCAACAAAATAAGATTGGAATAAGAAAAGGTTGCGTACCTGACATCGCGTTGTTCGTCGATCTTGATGTATAGAATTAGTTTGCCAGCCTGTCCAGAGAATTGAAAAAGAATCGATTTTAGCGGAAGCAATACGTAAAGGAACGGTAAAACTGAATCGTATTCAACTCCTTGGGGACCACGACTTATATACCTGTAGGGTTAGTACAATTCCTATTTTCGGTCCTACGAAATAGAAAATTATATAATGGTCCACACTTAATATCTATAATTAGTTGATTTACCTCAATAGTCAATTATTCACAAATCAAGACCACATTTTGAAATTGACTTGAAAGACCACATTTGAAATTGACTTTACAATTGGACTGCTGTACATATTTAATTTTACATATTAAGCCCACAATAGAAAATTAAATCCAACAGTTATGAGCATAGCAACCTAATTTAGACCCAATCAATAAGGCCTGGTCCTGGTGTGTATTTTACTAGAGGAAAATTCGCATAAATTGCCACATAACAAAAATTTAATGAATTAATTATACAGGTCTTTGTGAAACTAAGGGTAATTAAGTCAGCTTGGTGTTATAAAAATATTCTTGCTCTATATTTAACAAACCTTGCTCCGGAGATAACACTACCCTAAATATAATTTTATAAATTAAAATATTTAATATAGATATAATTTTATAAATCGAAATATTAGATTGGTTAATTAATGTAAAAATTAAGAGGATGTAGTCAAATTTTTTTTTTATAAAATTTAAATGTCAATTTATATACTGTCTCTGTTTCATTTTAAGATTTGATCTTTTCATAAAAATTAAGAAAATAATTGGAACATATCAATTTTTTATTAATAATAGTAGAATGTTTAAATTGCCTTTCTTAAATTAAAAATTTTCTATTTAATTTTGCTACAAAACACCTAATAAATATGAATAAAATTGAAAAAAAATAATTAATATATTTAAAAAAAATGAAATAAAATACTTATTTATTGAAAGTGAAATGAAAAAAAGTAGTTAACGAGATTTTTTTTTTTTTTTCCCCGGGAATCGGGGTGCAAAGCTGGGAATACGTAAGAGAAACTGCCATGCCATGCCTGACCGGCGGCCTCCTTATTGGACCAAGGACCAAAGGTAAGGTGTTATTGAAAGAAAACTTGAACTCTACTTTCTTAACACAATTACCAATTTACCATGTCCAAAAAAAATAAATTACCATTTCAATTTCATAGTTTAAATTATTTTTAGCCGGGTATCATATTAGGATTAAATTATTCAATCCCTTTCTCATATATTTTGCAAAATCACATAAGAAATTCACCTGAAATTATAAAAATAAATTCCATACACTATATAATAATAAGTTGCATCATAAACTAAATGTACTAAATATTTTCTTCAAGGGAATTTGAGTTTAATATTCAGAAGAGAAATGAACGTGACCTTTTTTTTTGTTCTTTTTAATAACAAGGTAATAGGCTCTATTATATAGGAATTAAGATATGCTAAATGATAATAAAATGTACAACGGTTGAATATTGAATTGTAATATATGGCTTAAGAGCTCTAATGAGTGTTCTCGAATTATTATTTTTTATTTTAGTATATAAAAAATGAAATGAATTACATAATAAATATTTATATAATTTTCAATTTCAGTAAATTTTGACTTGGAATCTGATCTTTATTGTGTGTGTTATATTTCAAATAATAAAAAATAATGAAAATAAAAACTGTTGACTCAATTAAGGTTTTGTGACATACATAAATTTTATTTTCAAGTGGAGAAAATTCAATGATCAAAGTGAAGGATATCTAGTTTAACATAATTTTTTTCATTTATTAAATTTCAATTGGGGTTTAATGAGTTGAATACCCGTACAGCTTTAGACAAAGTTATGGAAGAAATTAACTGCCGCAAATTCTTGCGGTGATTGAATTATGTGACCCAAAAACAGAACAGTAAGTCGTTGTCTGTGCAAGACAATTCCAGTTGCAAGACCTAGGTTATGGATAGCTCGCAATTTGGGGAAGACAAGACCGACGCATGGTGTTAAAGGGATTAGAAGGAGCGGGAGAAAGACAGATGTGTTGAGAAAGCCCCATTGCAGTCAACTTTTGATAGGACCGCGCGTACCCTTCAACCCCGAATTAATATGATATTGTCCGCTTTGGGCCAACATTGCAGTCAAACTTTTGATAGGACCGCGCGTACCCTTCAACCCCGATTAATATGATTATTGTCCGCTTTGGGCCAAGCACTCACGGATTTATTTTTGGGCATCTCTCCCCCAAAAGGCCTCATGCTAAATGGGTTGGTTTTTGAACTCATTTATATTGGTTTCCATTTCTCCTCTTTTATCCATGTGCGGACTTTGGAAGAGGATAGCTCGCAATTGGGGAAGACAATGACCGACGCATTGGTGTTCTTTTTAAAAGGGATTAGAAGGAGCGGAGGAGTAAAGACAGATGTGTTGAGGGAAAGCCCCATTGACCGTCAACTCTTTGATAGGACCGCGCGTACCCTTTCAAAGGCCCCGCATCCCATTAATACCCTGATATATGTCCGCTTTGGGCCAGCCCTCACGGATTTAGGATTTATTTTTATTGAGGCACCTCCCAGTAATAGCCTTCATGCTAATTGGGTTGGGTTTGAACCATTATATTTGTGGTTCCATTTGGTCCTTTCCTCTTTTATCCGATGTGGGACTTGTAGAGGGATAATCCCAACAAACCTCCTCGCTCCAACCAATTGGACCAACCAACAAATCAATGACCTCCCCTCCAGGGATAATCTGAGCCCACCACTGTTGTTACCGCCGCTACACCCACTTGACGGGACACGCTCCTCTTGTTATCCGCGATGCCACCTCCTCTTTGCTCGAAGAAGACTTTCGACACAGACTACCACTTGCAATTTCTTCTTCTGGTCTTCGCGTCCCTCCTGATATAGCTTACAAACGTCCACGCCGAGATTCTCACATCTGCGCAGTTCTACACCCCGCTCCACAACCAGGGCAATTCTGATACCACTTGAAAGGGACCGCGCCGTACCATCCAACCCCGAATTGTATGATATTGTGTCCGCTTTGGGCCAAGGCCTCTCACGGATTTATTTTGGCACCTCCCTGAAGGCCTTCATACTAATGGTGGTTGAACCACCCTTATATTTGGTTTCACATTTTACTCCTCTTTTTATTCCGATGTGGACTGGAGGATATTCCCAACAACTTTCAGGTAATACCGATGAAATTCTAGGGCAACCTTCATTACAACTGGACAAGAAAATTGAGAACTTAAAATTCAACGGAATATTTCTCCATTGTACTAAATCATGAAAAATTTTTGAACTTTGTTTTCAATACATGAACTGGAAAGGCCTCATACTAATGGGTTGGGTTTGAACCATTATATTTTGGTTCCATTTCTCCTCTTTATCCGATGTGGGACTTGGGAGGATATCCCAACAACTTTCAGGTAAACCGATGAAATTCTAGGCAACTTCATTACAACTGACAAGAAAATTGAGAACTTAAAATTAACGGATAAATTTTCCATGTACTAAATCAGAAAATTTTGATTGTTTTAATACATGAACGGACCCATAAACTGGGTCTTTATTCAAATTAGCAGGAGGGTAGGTAAGTCGTTACGTGATGATAAAATTTAAGATGACTTTACCAAGTCAATACACGCAATTGCCAAGTTATTCCAATCCTTATTTTCCATACACAATCATTCCTAACTCAAATTACTATATATAATCACACACTTCCTCCATCTCAAACCACATAAAAATACCCAAAACGTTTTCTTCTATAGCGGAAATGGAAAATACTCTTCTTTTCCTTTCCCTTCTTTTCAATATCCTCCTTTTTGCCTCAACTTCAAATGCTATTTCCTCCTGCAATGGGCCATGTCAAACAGAAAATGACTGTGATGGTCAACTTATTTGCATACACGGATCATGCAACGATGACCCAGATATTGGAACAAACACATGCAGTGGCGGCAGTGGTGGCGGAGGTGGCGGTCCTTCTCCTTCAGACGACTCATGTCAACCCTCTGGCTCCCTTACATGTCAAGGGCAATCATATCCTACATACACATGCTCACCAACAGTTACATCTTCGACAAATGCCAAATTAACGTTAAATGATTTCAGTGAAGGCGGCGACGGAGGTGCACAATCGGAGTGCGACGGGAACTACCATGACAAGACAGAGCTGGTGGTTGCTCTTTCTACTGGTTGGTATGCTGGAGGGACAAGGTGTGGGAAGATGATAAGGATTAGTGCAAGTAATGGAAAGAGTGTAGAAGCTAAGGTGGTTGATGAGTGTGATTCAAGAAACGGGTGTGATAGTGAACATGCAGGCCAACCACCCTGTAGGAATAATATTGTTGATGGTTCTGATGCTGTCTGGGAAGCTCTAGGTTTGAACAAGGATGACGGTGTCGTTGATGTTACTTGGTCAATGGCATAGTTGACCAAGTGACATGAAATTATGGCTCTTTTTATACCTAATAAAACCCATAAATGGAATCTCTTTGTAGTATGCTATCTGGATTTTAATTTTTACTGATTTAATAAGGATTATTAAAAAAGAGTGAGTAAGGTATAACTTATGTTGTTGTCCCCAATAATTTAATATATATATTTTTTTAAGTAAAGGCTGACTTACTTTCCTTAATGCGAAGCACAATGAATACCCATTATAGTTTGCAGCTGACGATGGGCCCAAAAATTATATGGGCTTGATCCTAAGTTTCGCATTATTGGATCCAAATAAGGGACATTGGTGTTGTAAGCTTAGACATAGTCCATCACCCAGATAAATTATAAACAAGGACTTTTGGGCTTTATGGATTTGCTTGGTTGATGGGCTTTTCCTTCCAACCCAGCAAGTTTGGAGTGAGGACCCCCCCTCTCTCTCTATGTATCAAAACATGATTTAACCATCCACTCCAAACTCCAAATGTTGTTAAATTTTTAATTCAAAATGTGCTAAAATTAGACAAATAGAAAAAAATTTTTAATTCGTAATTGGAGAAAAACTACAAAGGTTTCATTTACTTTCTAATTAATCTAACACTTACAATGTTAAAATACTTCTATATAAAAATATTATATCAGAAGGAGTTGGATTAGCAAAAATAAACTATGAGTGAAGTTTATACGTAAAATTGAATAAAAAAAAACTTAGAATTGTTAATTTTTACATTTTACATTTACTTTCTAATTAATCTAACACTTATAATATTGAAATACTTCTAAGAAAATATATATTTGAAATATATCAAAGACAGTTAGATTAGCAAAAATAAACTCAAAAGTAAAGTTAATTAAGTGGCTATTTTTACATTTTAACATTCGAAGTGGACTAGCTTTGATTAAGTTCATGAAACAGAAAAAACATAGGTTTAACAACAAAAGATTAATCTATAAAATTCACAAAATAAGAATTAAAATATTTGTCAATGTAACAGATTTTAAATAATCAACACGATGGTAATTTTAATATTTTTTAACTTATTTTCCTGAAAATTTATTTTTCTATAAAAGTAATTGTCCTTAAAATGTTTAATTTGGGTAATCAAAGGTGTCAAAGAAATATATAAATATCAAAATCTGACGGGCAAAAATAAACAAAAACATAAAAGTAAGTGGTTCCCATTGAACTATTCCATGTCCTTTCAGCAATAAATACAAAATGGGGGGACCTGGTCCTAGAATGAATGACCTTCATGAAGGCCATTACCATAAAGAAATAAAAGTTGAGGAACAAACGAAAAAGAAACACGTCTATATGAAGTACATATATGCAGTACATCTATTTTTCTTCAAGAATGAGGGCCAAGCCAAGAAAATTTCCGAAGGTGGACATGTTTCAATATTCACTTGCAATTGCCAGCAGATTATAATTATTATAATTTCTTTTTCTTTCTTCTTTTCTTTAAGTTGATGTGATACACTGCAATGATAAGAGTGACATTTCCATTTTCTTGATCTTGTGTGGCTGTCTATCACCAATAAGTCACATGACAATATATAAGTATGATGATGAGAAGATATATATATATATATTCTGTTCTTGTTCGAAAAAGGGAGGCCTCTATATGCTTTCTTTTCATATAAGCCCATGAATGGTCAAGGTAAACCCCAACTATCACCTTGTCAATTTCTATCTTGTTTCTCCTTCAAGTACAGCACTTATCCTAACCCCTACGAAAAACCTAGAAAATGCTAAGCTGATTTTTATTTTTCTTTTTATTTTTTCACTTCTGTACATATAGGCTTGGCCAAATTACGGTTCCGGGAACCGGAACCGTCGGTTCGAACCGGCCCGAAACCGTAACCGGAATCGGTGAGAACCGGAATCGGAACGAACCGGAACCGAAACCGGAAAAATCCGGTTCGGTTCCGGTTCCAGAAAATGAGGAATCAGAACCGGCGGTTCCAGAGAACCGGTCGGAACCGGACTGGAACCGTCGGTTCTCCGGCCGGTTAGAACCGCCGGTTTGAACCGTCGGTTCTCCGGCCGGTTAGAACCGCGGTTTTCCAAGGAGGAATCCGGTTCGGAACCGGACTGGAAACCTCGGTTGTCTCCGGCCGGTTAGACACCGCCGGTTTGAACCGTTCGGTTCTCCCGGCCGGTTAGAAACCGCCGGTTCGAACCGGCGGGTTCTAGCCGTGTGTAACTGTCAGATTTTTGTTTTTTTTTTTTTTTTTTGGTTGAAATGTCTTAGATCTAACCCCTCCCAACAGCCATAACACGGTCTCTTTTATAACGGGCTAGTTTTAAGGGTATTTTTAGACCACAAAAAATGAATTTAGATTTATTTAAAATTGCTTCATTTTTATTTACAAATTTCATTACAAAAAAATCCTCACATCTCTCTCTACTTTACTCTCTTCTCACCAACCTTATCCATACACTGCTACTCTATATATATCATTTATTCTTCTCTTACTCTACTCCAATATCTTCCTTATTTAAAGTAATATATTACTCTCTAATTTTTTTTTTATTCAATTTTCCAAATTATATTTATTATCATATAAATGGCAAGTGGAGGAAACTCAATATTTGGGTTAAGGGACAAGGGAAAAATTGGGAGAATCATCTATCCCTACAAACGGACATTTTTATTTGATATGTATTGCCCGACCAATTTAATTTTTGAAGGTTTTTCCCAAATGATAACAATTGGATATATCCAACTCAAAGAATCCGAATATATGAGCAATTTCAAGAAGATTGACCAGAGCAAAAGAGCAAGATAGTGGCAACGAGCAAAAAATTGTTAGGAAGCAGCCAAGACAAAGGTTTTCCGACATATTCCCTCATTTCACTTCACAAATAAAAATTTTTTAAGGTGAGAAAATGTTACTCGATGTAATTTGCAATATTGTGAGGGAAAAATTCTTATAAATTTAAAAGAACAAGCGGGCGGGTATGGAATCGGATTTTGGAAGCATTTGGAGGGCAAAAACATCAAACAAAAATAGGAGTTGATCGGTCTCAAACAACAAAATTTCCTGGGCTACGCTTTCTAACCTTTCTTTATTTAAATATTCTGAAAAAAACCATACAAAAAAGACAGATAATTAGCAAAAATGATTTCTTATGGAACATTATCTTTTAGTTTGGTGAAAATTTAGGTTTTAATATTATTGTCAAAAAACTTTTAAATCCTTGTGCTAAAAGTAGTTACCATGAAATACTGTAAAACGACACTTATTATTTTCTTTATATAACAAAGAAATAAAGTTAGAACTTTCTATTTTTCCAATTTGAAAATTCCGTCTGTTTTCAATTTTGTTGTGATGTTTGGAGCCCGTGATCATTTGACAAATGCATTTCTTATAATGTGGGTTTTTACATGTCATTGGATTTGATGTATGATTGGAAAATTTCAAAAAAGATTATTGTGTTTCGTGTTTTTTTGATGAAGCCTAAAAAAATACTGACATAAATACATTTTTATAGAGTTAAATTTGTTTTCAATTTTAGATGAATATTAGCGTTTGACAAAAAAATTTTTTTTTCTTATTTCATTGTACATGCTTCTGCATAATACTAGATCAAATTAGAAGCACAAGCGTGCCGTGTGGATGATTGGACCAAAAGCCGAACTTAAGAGCCCAAGAAAATCCAATAAGAAAATGGAAGATTTATTTGATTTATAACGATGGGATCCTCAACTGGAACATCAACCGGTACATGGTGGCAATAGCGATTTAAGGTTAAAAGGGGTGAAATGATATAGGTAAGTTAAGAACAGTGGGTTTTTGATTCTCTAAACCCCAAAGAGGATTACGTTAGGCAAACTTAAATTTTTTTTTTAAACAAAAAAAAAAAAAAAGTTCAAAGCCACATTTTTTTTTTATAAAAATTTTATGTTTTTCTTACTTAAAAAAAAAATTCAGTTTCAAAGTTTTTTTTAAAAATAAAATCATTATGTTCAACCACTCAACAATTCAAGGTCTTTAAATAAAATAAATTTTTATTGAAGTATTTTTTAATTTTTTAGGTGTATTTTTAATTAATTTTTGTATTGTTCGAAATTTAAATTTTTTTTTAAACGATTCTCAAAATTTTTAAAATTTTTTTAGGTATATTTTTTAATTTTTTATTGTTCAAATAAATTTTTTGTTAACCGGTCATCTTCATATTTTAAAATTTTTTAACTGTATTTTTTTTAATTTTTTATGTTCACATAAAAAAATTTTATTTAAACGGTATCCAAAATTTAAAATTTAAAATTATGCTGGATTCCCGCCGGAAAAACAATCGGAACCGTCAGCGTTTTGTTTAATCGGATTCGAACCGGAACCGGAAACCGGACGGTTCGGTTTAACCGGAACCGTAACCGGAAACCGGACCATTTCAGTTCGGTTTTCCGGTTTTACAGCCGGAACCGGAACCGGAACCGGACCATTTCAGTTCGGTTCCGGTTCCAGCTTTTCTGGAACCGGAACCGCCGGTTCCGGAACCATGGCCATGTCTATGTACATATTTGTGAAATCCAGATTAAGTAATCCCTTCATATTCCTTTTCCTCTCGAGCAGGAAAATTTGTGGAAGAGAAAAAACTAAGAAAATTTTTATGGTTTTTTATTACTAAATCATTAAAAATAAAAAAAACTTAAACTATGACGTTTTCAATAGTCGATAATTTGCCAATTACTATCTTAAACTTATTTTTCCTCATCAGTTACAATCTTCATCTAGAGTCTGTTAATTTATTTTTTATTCGATTGTTAATTATCCGCATAGCTATTTTTTGATCATTCATCTTTTATTTTTAAATTTCTAAATTAGAAGATTGCATGTTGATACAATCTTATTTTTATCTCACCACAAACTTGAAAAAAATATACAATTAACCGATCCTTGATGGATCCTCCGCCAACAACTCGTACTACCATCAATTTCAAGATCTGCTAAGTAGGTTTCTTCATCTTTAGAACTGCATCATTCAATTGCATCCAATCAAAATTTGAATGGAACCATAATTGACAATAAAAAATAAATACAACGTATTAATTAACAAAATTAAAAATATTAGCCAAATTTGGAAAAAAAAACCATAAAAAATTAGAGCTTTTTTTTTTTTTTTGTG